ACTAAATCCAAAACACAGCACTGTAGCAGCTACTGTAAGGAAGAAAATTAACTCTATCCCAGCTGAAACCAGGACAAGGTGTTTTTTGAAATTTGGAACAGAATGTTAAATGCAGTGATATGCTGCTGGGTGTTGAAAAATTGAGTAGGATTTGTACATGTTCTTATTGTGTATTTATTGAAGTAGTGAATTTATTATGATGGCTGAACTCTCTGAAATGGAAGAATAAATCTAAAAACAATTTGAAGGTTTTTGGTGTTGAAAAGAATTAAATCCGGGACCTAATAATTGTATTATTTCATATGCGTATTACTTAGCTAAATGTGAACTAAATATGACATAAATGATGACTGAATCCAATTAAATCTCCTTGGGTTTAGTTTGGTACTTAAAGATATTAGCTATGAGTTTAAAATTCCTTGTTTCCCTTTAAGCTGTCCTCTGTTCTTGTTTCCTGAAGATAGATTTTCCTATAGTCCGCCTGTATGCTGTGCTGTGTCATTCACATGCAGGCTAATTTTCTTCTGTCGAGAGATGATTCTCGTTAAGACAGGTCTGAGGAATGCTCCTTCAGTATGATATAACCTGTCAGTGTTCAGCAATTTCCACCACCACCCCCTTCATTCCCCAGGACTGTATGAATATTGCTTGATGTGACCATGGTTGTTTCTGTCATTTCTAAGCTGCACCCAACTTTACATTCTCCACAGGCTAGACCAAATTTATTTTTCTGTGGAAGGGATGGGAGAGCTCCAGTGAACTTCGACTCCCACACATGTTCCTCACAGCATGATAGAGTTCAGACTTGCTTCAGGGAAGGAGAGCTAGCTTTATAGCCCAGGAATGCAGGTACCATGAATCCCTGTAAAATGGGAGCAGATGTTCCTGCTGGGGCTACTGACTTGTAATTCCATAAAGTGTCACTGAATAGCAGCTCATCTTAACATTGAATATACATACTGATTTTATGCCACTGGCAAAATGAGCAAACGGAATATTATATTCAACTTGGTTTCATGCTTCCAGGACAAACTTTTCCACTTCTGGAATGGCTTTGAAAATGTCAGTTTTACCTAGTGCTCTGCACAGAGTGTGCAAATCTATAGGACGTTAGATGAAGATCCGAGATGGAAGTCAGGAGCCTATCTATATTTGGATTTCAAAATGAGCTAGGGACCTAGATACTTGTAAGCATCTGGACTCTGTGCCTGAACATCTTTCAGAATTCTAGGCATAAGGAACCATAAATGGTAAAACTGATTTTTAAAAAATGTCACCCATGGGTGCTGTACATTTGCAGAACTAGTACATCAGAATAATTTGAATATGCTTCATGTTCCATTTCTGCCATATTATATATTTTGATTTGCAGTTTACAGGTAAATATATTTTCTAAGATTATGATGAAAAATTTTATTAATCGTTTTCCGCCCTCAATTTCTTGCTGTTCTCCACCAATGAATTATTAACATCTATTTGGGTGTTCTAATTATTACACATCTTTAGCTTAAACATGTTTGAATAGTTCACAACTCGCTGTCCTCCAAAGATGAAACATAAATATTTGGCTAAAGTAAATTTTGTCTTTCTGAGGAATATTGGCTTGTGGCTAAAACCTCTTCTGAGATCTCCAAAGAAAGATGTTTTCATTTGCTGAAAGCCAGAAACCTATTTATTATATTTAGACAACTTCATTTTGAGTGAATATGGATGGAAGATAAAGATGGACATCTGGTGTTTTATTCACCATGGTAAAGAGAAGCTCTTTTGTTTTGCTGTATGAGAGCAACAGTCTGTCTGTACATCTGTAATCTGTCTGTATGGGAGTAAATGGCTTCCTTGGTACTTTTGCTGTTGTTTATAGTTCAGGTCATAGGTCCCTGACCAAAGTTTCTTTGAGTGCTTATTTTAGAGTTGCTTATCAGTGGCTACGATTATAGGCAACTTTACTTGCAGGCAAACACTTTCCCCTGTCAACCTTAACATGTACTGTTTGGCTCATCTTGAGAGCAGCAAGGGGGCTGTGCCCCTGTTAAGGAATATGTCCTACTTTGTTTGAGTGCCCAAAGATCGGAGAAGGAGAATTTTTGTACCAAGAGGCTTCAAAGTCAATTGTGAAAAAACAAACACTCTACTAAAATATAAAGTGAAGTAGATTATTAAATAATTCCCTTTTATATTTTTTCTGATAAATATTATAGGTGAAGCATATAACAAAGGCTCTGATTAAATTTGAATAAATTTTCAGATCTTAATATCTTTATCAATCTTTTATTTTTCAGGCTGAAAACTGACATGTTTTTCTGAAGCTTAAAGTGACTTCCCCTCTTTTTTTTAAAAAAAGAAAATAAAGGCAACTGTGGAGGAAGAAACCTTTATCTAATATACATATTTTGTATAACAACTCTACTTTAGATGGTTCTGTCTCAATGAAGAGAGAATAGAATTTTAAATTAATCTATAATTGGTAATATCTTTCAGTGGCTCAACAACCGTTTCATATGACTAAATTAAAACAAAATAATGAACAAATGTATTTCAAGCCAATAATCTGCCGTAATTCACTAAATGCTTTCAACACATATTTTATAAATGTAATATATACTGTTACTAGAAATGGATCTTGACCATCTATTTCAGTGTTGTGTATTACCTGTGACAAAATGTAATGGAACCTCATTTTTTAATTACAGCCAAGCGATGGATATGGCCTGCACTACTGCTGCTGGCAGAGGTGTACTGGAAGGAGAAAAGGCCTCATTGGATGTAAAGGCAATCTCTTGGAGTGCTTGATATTGCAGGTTATCTCCTGTTTTGCAGGTCCAAAGAAACATTTTATAAATAAGTATATGCAGGTTGGTTTTTTGGGGTTTTTTGGAAGGCATTTGATTGTTTGCTTTTTAAAGAATAACCAAAGCCATTTCATTGAAAAAACTTTGTTTCTTTATATTGAATTAAATTGCAAAAGGGCCATTCAGCAATCACATTCCATTACACTGACCAATGCTCATAAATGTCAGAGGCAGATTTTACATCCCCAGAAACTTGTTTTGTATTCCAAACTTCCACCCTTTGCTGAGCTGCTCGCAATGGCAGTACATGAGGCTTTACTCAGGCCTGCTTGCCTGGAGCTTGCTGGAGCATTAGAGGGTAAAAAGACGATGAGAGGAGCAGAGGTAAAGCTAACAAGATCATGGTTACTTAGGCCAATAACTAGAACATCTCTGAACATCATGTGTTCTCTTTCTCGTTTGCTTTGTTTGCTTTTCTGGGTTTTCCTTTTTCTTTTAAACAAGTGAATATCAGGTCTATCTGATCACTGCTCTGTCTAGCTACATAATTAGCTGATTTGTTTTGGCAATGCAGGCAGAACGCTATGCTGTCAAAAGGATGGCAAGACTGGAACGTGCAGTGTGTAAATTGGGAAATGTTAAAGAAATGTTAAAATTACATAGCATCTGCTTAAATACTGTGGGAGGCAAATGGCTAGCAGAGAGATCTGGACACAAGTTGAATAATGAAAAACATGGGGATTTCTGAATGTGGCTGGTACAAGGAGAGACCTGCAAGAGCTGCGTTTTATTTCTGGTAGGGACAGGTGTTTTAGTGTATGAATTATGAAATTATGGTAATGCTAATTTGTAAGTATCAAATAATGGTAAAACTGAATATTGAATTTCCTAGCTGAGCATTCTCCTTCCTACCTGCTCATTAGTGCAGTGCTCCTAAGGTGCATCACCCTTTGAAAAGGGGTTCATATAAATACACATGGGGAAAGGTATTAGCAAGCTTGTGGAAGATTACTTCTTCCATTTTGTTTGCACTGCATTTTCAATTAGTTGATGTTTTATATAAATTGATATGATGAATTCAGTGAACAGAAGTAATAAAATAATAATTCAATAATCATGCTAATACAATTTTTGTGTATATTTGAGTGTGTACCTGAATGTCTCCTGTATCTGCTCAGGAATCAAAACCATTCAGCCCAGGTGTTGAAAGTGCAGAGTAATTTCTGTCCTCTGCTGGAGAGGATTTGAACTTGTACATTTATTTTGCATAGCACTTCTGGCATGGATATTTTCAATAACAATATCACCTCTCAGACTTGTTCTGCTTTGACGGAGCAAAACAGTGAGAATACCTCTCCAGTGCAGTGGTTGCCTTCCCTGGGAGAAAGTTTTGGTTCCTGCTCTAGTTTATATTTGTTTAGAGAAAGAGAATGTCAGCAGTGTACTTCACTTCAGAGACACAGTATGGATTGGGGGTAACGAATTTCCCTGAGAGGTGGGAGATCCTGGGCTCAGCTCCCCACAGATATATGGCAGTCGAATGGATTTTCCAAGGCATTGGTGAGAGCTCTAGGTATTGAGCTGTTTTGCAAAAGGGGAATGTGCATGACATGACCCTAATTACTTACCATGTTGCTCAGTTGTTAATTTGATCTTTCTTTTTCCTTTGCTTTTCAAAAACTTTCTGAAATAGGTTTTAATCCTTTTTCATCAAAGTGTAAGTAAAAATGAAGAAAATGATAATTTTGATTTGATTTGAACACCAATTCCTTAATTTCTTATGTTATTTTCAGAATAAAAGTTACTAATATATGTTTCTAATACATAAATATTTTAATTAAATTTAATTACCTTTTGAAGCAAATGATTTACTGCAATGTGATATTTATGGATTACAATAAAACAACTTACTGATTCTTAAAATGGTAATTACAATTATTTTAAAGGGGTTGAAATCTCAGTACTATTTTTATATTTGAAGAAACAGGCTCTGGAGCCAAAGATCAGCCATAAATAGTTGTAAAATGGAATAATAATTTAACTTGATATATTTATGCTATCTCAATTACTTGTTCTTGAGTTAGAATCTTGTACATCTCTGTAGATACATAGGAGGTGTATAAATATTCAGTCATGTATATTTCTTTTCACTCATGGTGTAAGAGTACAAAGTCTGCATGTATAATCCATCAATTTGTTTCATACCCATCTATAGTTATTCTACACTTTTCTCATCTCTGATTTTTCCCTTCATGAATTTGAAGACTACCTCTTTTTTTTTCAGTTTAAACATAGTGCCCAGTCTTGCCTTCAATGAACTTTTTCAAGAAATTATTCACAAAATTCTAATAAATGAAAATTTGTGTTTGAAGCTGCTTGTCCAAATGTACTGTATCTTTGTACAGTTATATTCACAAAGCCAGTTTTACCTCTGATTATCAGAATGAAATTGTTAGTAGTAGTATTTATGCCAAATACCACAAATCTCTGTGTCTTATGTGAACCAAGGTGACAGTCCTAGTCTTGTTTTTTTTGTCAGAGATAACTCACCTCAAAAAAGTAATTGTCCCAACTCATTTGGTGGTCACAGGCCAGTCTCCTCACCAAACCCCATGACTGAGGTCTATCAATAGATACTAAGCAATGTCTTCCCCATCATCTCCTTCTCTGAAAATAAGTAGAGAAAATGGACTTTTCCCCATCAGCAGAAACTTTAAAGATTACACTGCTAACTGAGAGATTGAATTGGTTAAAAAAATAAATCTATTGAAGAAGAATATTAGGTGATACTGTCTGGCTTTCTTGGTTTTGCCGGGGGACATGGGTTAAGTTACCTTCCTTTTCACATGACGCTTTGTTGAGAAGAATTACAGAAGGCTTCTCCCAATTTAAGCCTTTGAATTTTTACTTAGTATGGAGGCATCCTAAATGTCATGTTTCTAAATGGCGCTCTTAAAATTACTGTCACTACAAAATTCTTAATTAATGCAAGTGTTCCAACATGAGATATGAGATTATTTTGAAGCTGAAATATTTTTAGATCTGTCTCTTTCAAACTTTTTCTCATGCCTGTAAAGTGGTCATTTCTAATTTGAGAATGTGAATGCGTATTTTATAGTGATCCACTACAGAAATTTGCTGACAGTTAAAGAATCAGTATATGGCAATTTACAATTAGTTTAAGGGTTGGTAATATGAAACTGAAACAAATCAGTTGGAGTCCCTACACAAAATGTTGCTTGACACTGAGAGGCTATGGTCTAACAGTTTGAACAGGGAGGGTGAATTTGAGGAAGGTATGTTACTTGTGTTTGACACATATTGATACAGAAGCAGTCTTGATCTGAAATATATGTTTTGATCAGCATACAGGTCAGCATAGAGAGATTCAACTTTTTCCAGGAGAAAACTCATTTGTGAGTCCTGACTCTTTATCAGCACTTCTTCCTAGCTGGTAGCTATTTGGACAGAAGCACTACCCTGCTTTTTCACAAAGGAATTGGGCTGAAGAAAGGAGGAACTGTGTAAAGATGGGGGAGTAAAAAAGCAGTATCAAAACTCCAGTGACACTGGTGCACCATTCTTGCCCAAGATTGAGTGGAAGTCAGGCTTTAATTTTTTCTACTGTAGTTTAATATGTTTCTCTGGAGGAAAAGTTGCTGCAAACATCAGATGTATTGAAGCACTTGTGGTAGGGGATTATTGGCTAAAACCAATGAGACTCATTATTAAATAATATTGCCATATTACATATATTTCTCTTTGTCCTCGCCTTCCTCCCCTCCCACATGCAATGAGGGCAACATTACTCCTGTACCTTTATTTCTCAGAAATCTGAGAATTTATTAATGCCTGTAAAATACTGTAAAAACTTTAGACAGAAGCTATTGCATGCACACCAAGAATTAGAAACCTTTTGATGAAATGTCCATTGCTTAAATATTAGTCAAATTTTCTGAAAATGTATATATTAGTGTAATGTTAATTAGTTAAATTTTAGCTTTCCATGAACACTACTGTGATTTTCTTTTCTGGTAATCAAACCTTAGAAGCACTCAAGCTTTAAACCTAACCAAAGGCTGTAACTAAAGCCTTTTGAAAGTTGTAAACTGCTGATCATTGGCTTCACTAGACTCTGATCAGGTGTCCCAAGAGCTGCATTTATCTCATCATCTGCCTTGTGCGTAGAATCACAACTGAGCAACAAATTGCAAATCTCCACTGCTAAGTGTATTTAGTTATCAGATAAAACTCATGAAATCTGTTTGAAATTGTGCAAGTTTGTAATTTTTGGATAAGTTCTATGGCTATATGAAAAAGAAGACTCAATATTGCTGAATTTTATTAATCTGTCTTTGAATTCCTTTTCTGCTACCAGGTAGGAAGTTGCATCAGTATTTAAAAAATAACAGCAAGGCATATAAATTGGATCTGTAAGTATATATGGCTAACCTTGAAGTAAAGGATTTCAGTACTAGTCTGAAATCAAACAAAGATTTCTGGTGGTCTGAAAACTTTATTATTATTTTATTTTTTTAATTGCTTTTAGTCTGAATCAGAATGAAACCGTTAAGCTGGAAGATTGCCAGGTCCAGCACTGCTCATAATTTGGGCAGGGGAACTGAGTTTTCAGAACACCAGCCTCTGCCTCATCCCAGACTGACCAGTCTCTGCTAGAGAATGCCTTTCTGCTGCTTCAGCAGGCTACCTGGCTAAGTCAATGAAAGTTCATTAAGCTTGATGTGTTTCAAATTAAAAAAGAATAGCAAATGTTGATGGAATTTTCACCTGAGAAAGTGTCACAGGCTTCTACTTAATAATACTTCTGCCCTTCAACCTCAGCACTTGAAGTATAGGAGATGCTGTTAGAACTCTACTGTAGTGTGTGCTTTACAATCAAAAGGGGTGAGCTATGAAAGGGACTCTCAGCCTTGCAAGATTCTTTGTTTGTGTTAACATAAGCTAAAAGCTGTCAAAGCAGAAATAGAGGAGAATAAAGAATATAAATCAACACTTTCAGGAGAACAGTTTGTCTTTTAAAAACAAAACAAACAACCAAACCCAACCTTTTGTCTTCCTAAAGCTTTGCAAAATTACGTACATTCAGATGAGGAAAGTTTTATCCATGCAGAAGGAGAACACAACTGCAGAAGGAACCTGTTTGCTAGCGCAAAACTGGCCAATGTAAAGAAGTGACACTTCACTAGTCATTTTAATGCATTTGTATTAATGTGATCTCACAGATAGGTTACAGCAAATTCTAAGTTTTGAAATTTTAAAGTAAAAAAATTGCTGAGCCAACATCATGGAAGCACCTCATAAGAGATTTGCAACATTTAAGCAGAGTTTTTTCCATGGCAGATTTTTGAATGCAATATTTCTTGTTAAAATAGAAGTTCATACTTAATTTGTATGCCTTCTTCCCAGAAGAAGCATGTTTTCCTCTAGGTGTGTGTATGTGTAAGAGAGAGACAGACAGGCAGAATGAATATGGATAGCTGGGCAGAAGGGAATATCCTCACTTTCAGGTTGTGGGGGAAAAAAAAAAAAAAAAGGGGATGATTTCTGAGAAAGTTTTCAAGCACAGACACCTGTGTAATCATGAAAAGCATTTGGTTCCCCTGAAGAAAACTCTCCCTTCTTCATTCTGCTGTTCTTACCAACACATCCCAGTAATTATCTGCAAGTTGCAGATGTTTTCAGGCATGTCTAGCTTTGCTCTCTCTTACTATAAGAATAATGTAGTTGCACAGTAAGAGAAATATGGCATGTCCTATGAGAACTGAATTCTGACATGGATAATATCAACTTCAGTGCTTGTTACAGTATGTTGTAGTAAAGTTTTAAGTTACTGTTATTTCTACTGAGATTGTTTTGTTCTATATAGGACATTGATTTCTCTGTTAGGTGAACTGATGATCCATGAAAGCAAAAGAAATAAAGCTGTGTTTGAAGGTGAGATAAAAAAACAGTCAGTACTCATTTCATTGAGCATCTGCTAGTCAATCAAAATATTTAAGTAAAGAGGAGGTAAGTTTTCCATAGAAAGCTTGTGAAAATTTTTTACAGTTCTTGATCTCTGAATATGTAGAGTGAAATCATGTCTCGCATGCATCAGGCTTGGTTTGAAAGATACTTTACAAGCAATTTGGATGAATATCTTTTTCAAAGACCTTTCACTTTATAACATGACTGATGAGTATTTGTGACTGAATTCCATGAAGTTTTACTGGTATGTTTTGCTCTTTTTTATTAAATAATCAGACTTTTATGATCTTTCTGGAAACTTGGATAACTTAATCTTAAGCAAAGCCCTGACTGCTCTGTAGCCTCAAGTTGCAGCACTCAGTGCCTTAGACATGCTGTTCACTCTGCCGTGTGGTTTGTGAGATTACTGACAACTTCTCCTGGGTCAATCTGGGTGTACCGTAAGGGTATTCATACACGAATACATATATAGTATATATATACATACATATACTATATAATCAGCATATATGAATATACTGATTCAAGGACATTGAGACTATTGTGTCAATGGGCAGCAATCAGAAAATAATAAAGAAAGCAAATCTGAATGACTTTTTACACAGTTGTGTATACAGCAAATTATGCAGCAAATTAACTAACTTACAGCTGAAATTTCCTTAAGACTCAGTTTTCTGTGGGTTGGATATAGAAACTGGAAAATAAAATGCCTGTTAGAATTCATAGTGCCTTACATTAAGCTTACTACACACATTGATTAATTAATACTAAGTAGTTTTTTATGACTGCTTGAGTAGTCACTCATTTTGAACAGACTGTTCATCCTATCCAGGATAGCCTGTGGCAATAAATAAATGACGAAAGCTTCAGCACCATGTTCCAGAGCTGTAAAAAACACCTTGTTATTACCATGAGTTTTGAAGTACAGATAAATTATGAGTGAAAAGATTGCTGAAAGAGGGCTATGAATCCAACTAGTTTTATTTGACAATACCAAAGTAAAAATTAGCGTAATTTTTTTATTTCTGTATAGAATAATTCTTTAAAATTTAGAAAAAATATGCCTTAAAACTGATTTTAAAACTTTTTAATACTCGAAGACGTTTTTCACCTACAGATATTAAACCTCTGAGTCTCTTTGAAGCATTTAAAAAGTTTCAGGAGTAGTTCAATGTGGTGTGGTGCTGATCTTTGTAGCTTCAGTTAAAGGCAACTAGGAGTAGCTATATTGAGTTAGCTTCAGAGGAGCAGTAAGCTTTATAGGTGTTTGGTATGGGGCTAAGGTCAGGTCCTGCTTCTCATTATGAGCTCTCAAAGATCTTATTACCCCCAGGCTTTTATTTTTTTCTCTTCATTCTTGAAAAATTTGTGTCACAGGCCTATTTCTTCCTTGCTTTTTGTCAACATTTTATAATACCTTATGTAAATCTGGAACTCTGAGATTGTAAGTTTTCAATTTATAACCATCCTTGGGGGGGTGGGGGAGGAAGTAGCAAAAAGAAATAAATAAGGCTAAAAATAGTTTGAAACAAAGGGCTATCTCTGTGTCTCAACAGCAGCTGCTTGCACTGTCTTGTGAAGCTTTTAAGCTCACTCTTGGTTACATGAATAGTAGGATGTTCTGAACTGGTAGGCAAGGAACGCATTGTATTACTTTCAGTGCACAGGTCACAGAAGGGCAACACAGGGAGTTGCATCTAGTTTTTCTCACCTGCAAGAAAAATATTGTGTAACATGGCCAACAGAATGGCTTTTGGAAACATTTTCCTAAAAGAAAATGGACGATTAATTTCTAAATAAAAAATAAATCATAATATAATAAGAGTTTTTCTTACTAACGAATCAGCTTATACTATATTGTGGGCAGAAATCAAAATACAAACCTGGTACAATCTCATAGTCCTTAGCATTCAATCTTATTTTATTACTGAAGCCCTAATGCTACCACCTTTTCTGACATTCAACATCAGGAACTCTAGTGTGTTTTGCATCATCGCAGTACATAACGATCCCTGAAACTGTGGATTACTGTAGGATAAAAACACCTGGTTCTGTATTATATTTAATGTTGCCTGGTTGTTGTGCAGCTTTGGTTAGCCTTTGTTGCATAATTGCCCCCTGCGCTGGTGAAGTGTAAAGGTCGATCTGAAATCAAGCAATGCTTTGCTTAGGAGTGATCCACAGATATAAGTACGCCTCTTGTGATTGTTTCTTAGTTGTTTTCCACACATTTTTAGGATTCCTTTGAGAGGTTTATTCTCCCAGAACAGTTTTTTGAGATATTTCGGTCAATAGCATTGTAAAAGTGTGTGTGGTAATTGTACCGGTAGATCATAGTATCAGTGATATATGAATTTAGTGGTTCCTTCTGTGTAGTAATTCTAGATTATTGAAAAGGAATCTAGCACAGCAAGAAGCCTATTACATTAATTTAAAAAGATAAGAGAAATCACGAAGTTTTTTGCAGATGCGGTACGGATATGGTTAATACCATCACATGTTAAGCAAAAATACATACAGTCTGGATAAAACTGAATATTTGTGGCACTTAATATTCACATTTATTATAAGATTGAAAAACGTGTAAGACAACACACATTGTGTTACAGTGGGAATTACTTGTAAAGTCTATTTAATGCAATTTTTGAGTACCAGTTAAAGGTACTTTGCCATCTGCTCTCTCAGAAGATAGTCAAGCCTGATCTCTGTAGGTTTATCTTAGAATAAAGAATATTAAAACTGGGAATTCTCATGCCACTCTCAGTTCTATGCTACTCTTCCTTTAGTGTGTTCTACAGTTACAGTTAATTATTTATATTCTCAGATCAGCAATTTGTAAACTCAGAAGTATTTTCATGGAGAAATGTGAAACAAAGGGAATTTATAAACCTGGATCATCTGGCAAATACAAGAAGCCATCTCCAAAACCTAATGTAATCCATATGCTCTGTGCAAGTCTAGCAAAAACTAAACTCATGGTTCTGAAATGTTTGTGAATGTTCTGAATGTGGCCACTTAAACTATTATTATTGTTGATCACCATGAACTTTTACTAAGATGAGGGTGTTTGTTGCATGCCAGGAGGCTGGTGCTACTACAGAAGTGGCCTGGGAGTCAGTGCTGGAGTGGTGTGCTGGTGGCATGTCCATTATATGTCCACTGTGCAGTGCCCCACTGTGATGGACGGCCAGAGCAGGGAGATAGTTGTGTAGCCATTGCTGCCTCTAGTCTTCTACAAAGTCTAATCAGTCCATGAGGAACTGTTGTTGACTGGTTTCTGTGGCTCTCCAAATCAAGTTTAGTTTAACAGATCATGTTAGCAAGCAGAACAAGAGGTCACGTATTGGGTTCAGGCTTTCTCAAGTTCAGTTTCAGTTCTTTTATTGAACAAGATTAACTTTCTTTGACAATTTAACATTTAGGAGTTACTGTAATTTTCTTAAAATCTGTTGGGTATATACTACCATCCCCTGGAAATCTTCCATCAGGATAGATGTATATTCTGTGTAACAGGTAGATTTACTCACCATTTCTATAATAGATACTGAAGCTATGAGTCTGGCTGTCTACCATTGGTATCAAGCACTGTTAGCATTCTAACAGTATTAAAAGGGAGCCTTTAGATGCTTCTGGAGCAAAGTGGTGAAATGCACTACCCATTTTATATTATGCAAATTGCAGCTATTATTGACCAGACTTCTTAGCTAGCTCTGAAAGAAGATAGACTATGAGATTATAAAAATGTATGAAAGTTCAATTCAGGTTGTAGAAGTGGATGAAGGTTTTGATGTTATCTAATTTTTGTTTCTGTTTTTTGCTTCAGTGCTTTTTTTTTCTCTTCCCGTAATTTTATTCCAGCACTGTAATGGTATGAGAACGTTTGCAAAGAGGTACTTACATTAATATGTTATCTGTTAGATATCTGGGTTTCCGTTTGGACAGAAGCATTAAAAAACCATTGTGTTGCTGAAGCACTTCTGATTGGCACCAGACATCAGTTTTAGTTATATAAACCCACTAATAAGTTTTGACAGGAGTCTGGATAAGTCTACTGAGTGCCACACATACACAGCTTTCAGATATGCCATGGAGTGATAAGCCATAGTACTGTTTATATTCTTGAGAAGGAAGGCACATAATGAAATGTATTAATTACTTTGTCTTCTTTACTGACTGTGACTATATTGAATGAGTTAAAACAATGAGTTTTCTTAGCATTAACAAAATGTTTAAGAATCTGGAGGTGAAGTTGGTGGCATGATAGAGACCATTTATCTAAGTGTGTTTTACCACATTACATCAACCATTCTGTTTCTTTCTTTTTTTTTTTAGGTTTTACTGGGACTTAATCATGCTCATAATGATGGTTGGAAACCTTGTCATTATACCAGTTGGAATCACATTCTTCACAGAACAAACAACAACACCATGGATTATTTTCAATGTGGCATCAGACACTGTTTTTCTATTGGACTTGATCATGAATTTTAGGACTGGGACTGTAAATGAAGACAGCTCTGAAATAATACTGGATCCTAAAATCATTAAGATGAATTACTTAAAAAGCTGGTTTGTGGTTGACTTCATCTCATCAATACCAGTGGATTATATCTTTCTCATTGTAGAAAAAGGAATGGATTCAGAGGTTTACAAGACAGCAAGAGCACTTCGTATTGTGAGATTTACAAAAATCCTCAGCCTGTTACGCTTATTACGCCTTTCAAGACTGATTAGATACATACACCAGTGGGAAGAGGTAAGATTTATACAGTTATAACATCACTCGTTAAGATCTTATTCCTACAAAAAACTAGTCGGGTCTCTCCGAAGAGCTACAGAAGAACCAGAATGGAATAAAGAGTTTTTACTCACGAATTAATGCAATTACATACAGGTGCTAGTAGAAAAGCCTTTCTGGAAAAAAAAGCACGGAATAACTGTCTTCTCTCTGCTAACAACAGAGATCAAAAATTGATGGTTTGGGACCATCAGCACAATAAGCATGTATGGGCTCCTATTGGGAATATTAGAAATTTTAGCAACCACCAAAATCTGCATTTGAGTTTGGTGACTAGCACTTAAACTCATGAAGTTAATGCTCTTGTAATCACAGAGAACTTAAAATACCTGTTCATATTTTTCTGTTTGAGGCAAAATTGAAACCATTTATATAATTTAGTAGATTTCCTAGAATGCTCATTGTTTGAAGGTTCTATGTAGGCTAAATAAATACTGACCTTCTTTATAAAAAATGGGTAGTTCAAGTTTTGAGTCATTGCCTTCTAAACTGTCAAGTCCACTATTTCCAGATGTGACCTTATGCTGCCTGCCAACTTGGCATGGTGACATTTCCAGGAAATTATGGCATTCCCTAATTTGGCATGCTCATGGCTAGGAAGTGTTTAATACTTTGGCACATACCACCATGATTCAGTCATTTCATTTCTTGCCTGTCCCCATTTCTGGAGTTCTAAATATCATAATATATTTTAAAAGGAAGTGCTAAAAACATGGGAAGAATAACTGCTGTTTTCTAAACCTTTCTTGCAGCAAGCGTAAAGAGAATTACCTTGTAAAGCATTTTCATGGAAGCACTATTAAAATAAGATTTGCATAATTTTATTTACCTGCTTTGATAAAGATTTACTTAGTTAAATGAATATTGAAGGATGATATGGTACGATTTCTGGTGCTTTTTTCTGCTGGTTATCTCCAGTATTACATTAACATTCCGGTTTAACAGAAACCTAAATGCAAAGCCATCTCACAAATAAAGTCAGAGTATATTTAAAAATGGCATGATGCTGGATGATACTAAGTATGAAAAGTCTAATAAATTTATAGTTGTTTCTCAAAAAGCTCCTGAAATAGGTCATTATTTTCTGTTACTGTATTTTGTAAATTCTGCTTCTTTTTGCCTCCCTGTAATGTGGTGTAACTATGTTTTTGACACAGAAAAAGAGCACTGCAGTTTTTTACTCAATTTAACTAAGGCAAATGATTAAGCATATTTTGCAGTTCTACCATAAAGCTGTGCTTTTGTCTTCTCTGTGCTTTACAGAGAGACAACCTTCTGAAATGCATTCAATGACATTATCTTCTGGCAGCTTCAGTTAATAGCTTGCTACTATAAAGCCCTACTAAGCAGAGAAATTAATAGCTTTTTTTTCCCCTTTCCATCAGTTGTCAAAGATAAATCAGGTATTCTAAATCAAAAACAGTTGAACTGGCCACAGAGTGGGACTAGAAGTGACCAGAGGAAGAGGTCCAAACCAGCAATAGCTGGTATTTAATCTTTAGCTAATGGCTGCTTGATTGCAACTTCACCTTTGATTCTACTAGTAAAACTTGTGAAATATTTCTTGTATGATACTTTATTTGACAAGTATTGAAAAATAAGTGGAGTCCATCTTTTAGTGTTTGATAAGACATAATAGTCGTCCCTGGATGTTGTCAGGAAGGTGAAAGAGGGTCTGAAGGGGCTTTTGGGGTTTTTTTTTTTGAGCCTGCAATAAAGCAGCAAGAAGCTTGTTGGCTGCTTTTTAGAAAGATTTCTGATGACTGTGAAAACGTGCAGGAACAGTGGTAAATATGTACACTGAATCAGGTTCTGATAAATCCCCAAATGAAATGTGTGCAAGAAGATGTTCAGGTTTGCTGGTTAGCATTTTACAGATACTGGAAATGAAGGCGGTCATAGATTTTCATATTTGGCTTTTGTTATCACAGTAGTTGATTATTACTTTGGATGTAGTTTGTGAAACAGTTCTGCACAGTGATCCATTACCACTTTGCAGAAATTGTGTGTTACAGGATTGTAATGTTTTAAAACAAAAAAACTGGGTAGGGATGGACTTTGCTGAATTAGGAAACAGTAGTTGGATGATCCCACAAGGGTATTCAGTGAGACCTTTGCTGCAGATATTAATCTTTTCTGTATTGTGTGTGTTTGCACATGCACAACAGGGAGCAACTGGTAACTAATTTTTATGACACAGAACTGGAGCCTGTTTGTGTGTGGTCAAAAGGGTTTAATAGCTTTTGCATATGGGCTGACATGTTGGTTTTAAATGTAATGCAGATAAATCTAAAATTCTATGCATTTGGATCCAGAATAATGAGCATTATTTCAGAAATATTGAGAGGACAGCCAGCAAATTCATTCTTCATAAGCTGCCAAGAGGATACTTCATGGAAAACTGATGGATGAACAAACCAGGTTGCACAACAAGGCTGTTTGTTATCCCATTGAGGTATTTATAGGTCCTCCAACAGAAAAGGCAGGTTGAAATTGTTTGGGGTTTTCCTTTTTTAGTATCACATACCTGGACTTCAGTTGGTCAGTATCCTGAACTTTAAGATGAGTAGGGAAAAATTTAAAAGATTTTTGTATGATACTGGTGAAACATGGTTCATTTTCTTTATTTCCACATCATTTAAATGAATTAAATCAAGATCAATCTGCTAACAGCCACATAGAGTAATGCTGAGATAAATAATGTATGCATTGCAGAAGCTTTCTCCTTAACTGTTAAGAGGGAACAGAGCTATAGCCTGTGGTGCAATATATATGAAATCTGATTGATATATTCATATCAGTCTGATGTTAATAGCTTACCCAAATGAATGACTCCATGCAAATGGGAAGAAACAATTTAACAAAGGGACAGGAGATATGTTGGCAGGAATTAATTTACTGAATTTACAAATTCATACTGTCCTAAACCTGCTTTTTAGCTACAATATCTAATATTCTAGTCCTTTACAACTCAGATGTTGACAAATAGATCATATACTTACTTATACAAAACTATATACTATAATGTGAAAGAAAAAATTTGTTATTTAAATTGGTGATTGCAGAAATTATACTTTTGCAGTAATTTCTGACACTGGGTTTGGATTTTTTTTTTTTTTTTAGCATAGGTTCCTAAAAATACCACACAGGACATACTAGATCTAATTCTTACTTACTTTAACTTATTTTATGAGACTGCCTAAGCTGCTGACCCCTGAACATTTTACACAGTTTGCATGCAACTAGTCAGTTATTCTTAGTTAAATATGGTCACAAATAACAGAACAATTAAAAATAAAAGATATAAACAATTATGAATAAATACATTGTTACAACATGTCAAATGATATGCCACATGGTTTTACATTTATCTATGGTATAAATTTACTGATTCTTTCAAATAACAGTATGTCCTGGTTTCAGCTGGGATGTAGTTAACTGTCTTCCTAGTAGCTGGTACAGTGCTATGTTTTGAGTTCAGTATGAGAAGAATGTTGATAACACTGATGTTTTCAGTTGTTGCTCAGTAGTGTTTAGACTAGAGTCAAGGATTTTTCAGCTTCTCATGCCCAGCCAGGGCACCTGACCCAAGCTGGCCAACAGTGTATTCCATACCATGGGACGTCCCATCTAGTTTAGGAACTGGGAAGGGGGGGCAGGGATTCGCCGCTCGGGGACTGGCTGGGTGTCGGTCGGCGGGTGGTGAGCAATTGCCCTGCGCATCATTTGTACATTCCAATCCTTTTATTACTACTGTTGACATTTTATTAGTGTTATCATTATCATTATTAGTTTCTTCTTTTCTGTTCTATTAAATCGTTCTTATCTCAACCCAGGAGTTTTACTTCTTTTCCCGATTTTCTCCCCCATCCCACTGGATGGGGGGGGAGTGAGTGAGCGGCTGCGTGGTGCTTAGTTGCTGGCTGGGGTTAAACCATGACACAGTATTTACCAAAAGCTGCTTAAAAACCAGACTTTAACAGCTTTGATTACAGCTATTCTAACCACAGGACAAGGCCTAGTAGATGTATGAGTAAATAGAAGTGGTATTTCTAAAACTGTAGCCTAAGTCTTTCTCATTCTGAGTTGTCTGATTAAGTAGAATTAGAACCAATTTTAAAGTCACTAAATGCTTATTGCAAGATGTGCAATAAAGGTGATGTTTTGCAGCCAATCATCTAGTAAAATATGTGATAATTTTAAATTGCAGCGATGTCTTATTTTGATTTGACTTGTGCTGAAATCTGGTTTTCAATTTGCCAAACCTTTTAAAGGTTCATAAACCTATGTTAAGTGTTTGTCACGACCCAGGCTGGACAGACCAGGGAGGGGTCATGGTGAATTCGGAATTCCCTTGGGCAGAACTTGCCCCACCACAGCGTTTGAGACATTAACTCTTCCAATCTCTCACAGTGTTGATATCCATTCTAGCTGTTACTAAAGCTCAGGCGTTTAACAAAACATATTTTTAAGAATACCACACAGGCATGTCTTATTTTACTTTTTACTGTTTTATTTCTAATAATCATAGTAATGATGTTCCAGAAAAGCTCATAAATACAAGCTTGCTTGAATGCTAAGTCTTACTAAAGTGCTTAAAAATTAAGTAAGTGTGTAAGAGCTTTGCCAAATGAGATCCTACATTAACAATTTTATCTGTTGCTTCCAAGCTACCAACCCTAATTATCACAGATTACCACTAGGTGTCCTCTTCTTGTTGTTCTCCTTGTTGCCAACAGTACAAAAATATGTATTATGCGTATATGATGTTGAGTCATTATTGTTGCCTAAATAAAAATACTGTAAAAGAACACTTGTGTTGTCCAGACAACAGAAGACAACTGTTACTTCAGTAGCTTGCTGTTTCTGTCGTAGGAATACAGATGACTTTTGTCCCCTACAGAAAATCAAACCATTTTTGCTATCCCCTACAGCCAGATGAGAAGTCAAGGGTTTTT